CTGAAATGCATACATTTTCCTACTTCATAGACAGAAATCCTGTGAATTTATAATGGCTGTAGTTAAATTTCAGTAGAAATAGTAATTCTATTTCGTTCTACCGAAACAAGTTAACTTATATTACTGTTTTGCAGACATAGCTGTTTTATCATCATCACATGTCACTCTTTGACTTTTTAACAGGATGAATTTTCAGGTGATAAAACGTGAATTCCCCTCTGATACATATTTAACACTTTCTTTTACTAGTCACCTTCACAAAAGTTCAGAATTAATGTTTAACTAGTCTTCTTAATTTTGACAGAAAATAACTGGTTATTATAACCAGCTGCCTTCACAATATACATGTGAATTCATCTATCACAGTGTTTCACATTTTATTGCTTTTTATTGATCCTCCATGTGCTACAATAATTCTATGACGCATCTTCCCTATGTCAGATTATTAAAAGCATATTGAAAGATTGACAGTAGTTATTGGTGCAGCTACCTTAAGGGTAATATGTTCTCTCAGTTGTAAATAATCATCTGCACTGCTCTTAATGCTTTTATTATATGGTACTAGTTATCTGGTAACAAAACAATTGTAGTTTGTTTAACTTTTGACACAGGAAAAGGAATAAATTACATTTTCTTGAATGAGAGACACTAAGCAATCAATACCTTCACTAATTTAACCACAACAAGATATCAGCCAGAGTTAATAGCGGCTGCTATAACAGAATCAAAAGTGCATAGAGGAGAATGACCTACAGAATTATAAGTGTAATCATGTTTGCTTACTGATAACAACTTTAAGACACTTAAATACTGTTATCCCAGGCTTAATTTCATGTTTGTAATTAATTTAGGGTTTTGAAGTTCTGAATTATTCTACCCGAATGATAAGAATCACTTTAATATGTAGTGAAACACGATTGACGATATCAAATGTCTAAATATTTCAGTATTAAGATACATATTTATATTTGTTTTTAAAAAAGTTTACTGAAATTGGAGGATCGTGAAGTTGTTTACTGAGTTCATCAATCGAAAAACTTTCCCTTCTAAGATTATTTTGAAATATGTTCTAGTTGCGAAACGACATTTATTTTCTGTTAAAAGAACGTTAATTTATCAACAATCTGATAAGGAAAAGAACTCCACAGTACTTTTGATTTGAAGTTTGATTTGAGCTGATAAAAGAGGTCGGATATAAATACAGATATGTGGCTCCTTGGCTTCAGTAATTAACTTCCAACTACTGAGTTCAGAGTTATAGCTCCTCCTCATCTAATTCAGCTGGAGCAACAAGGTGGTGTCACCACCGCTCACAAAACAGCTGTGTCTCATTGCCTGGGAGGTAAAAAATCCGGATCCGGTTAAGTCGTTTCTAACAAACTATCACATTGATTTCAAATTATTCAATCCAAAGCTCTAGGAATATTCCCTCCAGAAGTTCCGTAAAACTTGGCGTTTGGCATCATTTGCATAGCGTATCGAAGTAATGGAAAAATAAAAATTTATTGAACAAAATGTATTCGAATATGAGTGAATCGCACTTCAGGTAAGCTAACTTATCTCCGTTGTACAATTTAAGACAATTGTCAGTAAGCCAAATTAAGTAAGACGTGAAAGGAAACGCTTTTGTTTATCATACTTTATTACCATAACTTCAAGAACGGATAAATAAATAGAAGTAAACTTAGGTTAAAAAAGTTCCTCCGCTGGCTTTCTGTTAGTAAGGGCACACATTTCACAGTTTATGCTAATCGAAAAGAAAACACTTAACGATTTCTCGGGCGAAAGTTTTCTTTGATTTCAATACAAAGATTTATAAAATTGCTGCTATTGAAAGTTATTATAATGACAGGAACGAGGGAAGCATTATTAATATGGTCATATTTAGATGCTTCTGCTTATTGATTTTATTCACATTACTGTTCCACCCATCTGAAGAATACATGACAGGTGATTGTAAAATATTTTAGTTTTTAGGAGAATAATCTTTATATTTTGACCTTCCCCTTTCGATAGATGAGACTGATTTGGAATTACATGAGATGCTGATACTTTCAGTCTTCATCTGTTTTTGTGTCCTCATCTGAATGTTTTTGAAGATATCAGGAGTCGTATATTTTCATGATCTAGTGATAAAAATGTACTCAACATTTGAAAGACATTTCTAACATCAGACTATGATTAAAATCATTAGATTGAATACCTTATATGTTTCGTTCTTGAAGCGCAAGTAGAAGTAAATTCTTCAGATGGGACTTCACGACTACTACAAATCATTGTGGCTATTAACTGAGTATGGTTTGTTTGTCTGATGAGTCAACGATGTGGTTAACCTCTCTCTCAGCAGTCACGCATATATAATTGTGGTTCATAGACAGCAGCCCTTCACAATGATTGACAGCATTGGTAATACATTAACCAAGTTCTATAAATTCATTATCGATCAGATTATGAAAGTCATTGATAAAAATTTTTTGGTCACTCCTGAACTACAAAAACTGCAGAAATGTAACTTGTTATTAATACTAGTGTGATAATTACTGTAATGTCTGGTTACTAAACAAAAACACACATATTAGTATGATGAAATTAAAACTTTTTCTTCTGTCTGCATTAGGAAACACAGAATTCAAGTGTTTACTAGATTCAGAGTTATGATAAGTAAACCACGTTTTTTCATCAGAAACTATAATCTGTGTATGAAATTAGCCAAAAATTAAAAACATATTATTAATAACCACACGTTTAGGTTTTCTCGTACCGTTGAAAAATTATATGTTACTTAAATTAGTGGTGACGAAGGTATATCTCAGTTTAATCGAAAACATGCCTTCAATAATAAAAATCAGTTTTGAGAACAGTCTACAGAAATTGGTTGCAACTTCTGATAAATGATTAATTTTTTCAACTATCTGTAATTTAGGCATTCAAAAGTTTTCAACTGGTTATTGAAAGGCAAGCATTATTAACATCTGGGATTTTGAAGAATGGTCTTCAAAGTCCTCAACTATATCGCTTTAGAGAATTTATTGTAATGCTGCGAAAAATAAATAAATATTAGGATACAAAGTTAAAAATACAACTCATTTACTGCACCCTTTCTCAATTGATAAAACTGACTCTATTAGGAGAAATAACCAGATTTTTGGCAGGAATGGACAATTAACAACTGACCTGCTCTGTGATAATAACATTTAAAAACCACACTTAATTAAGCTGAAAATGTACTAATCTTTTATGAAGTATTCTGAATTCTAGTCACTGAAGCAGAACTACGTGTTGCATAGTTTCATTTATTCAAAAAGTATACACAAAGTAGAACGTCCTGCTGGTGAGAAATGAATGTACGCTAATACTTTAAATATCGAAAAGTAACAGTCATTGGAAATATATAGCGCCCAAGTGATATTTTTAAACAACAAGTTAGTGTTTCTAATAATCATGAGCAGCGTTTGTTGACTGCCTTTTCAAGTTAATAACACTAATGTACATTCCAAACTACTTGATGACTGACAGTTGATCCATAAGACTAACACTTCCCTATAAGTATACCCAGTGGGCCATTGGTAGAATGATGGCAAGCTACACAGTAGGTTCAGGTTTGGTTCTCGACCGAACAAGTTCTAATCCTCGCCTAGCCATTAGTAAGCTGGCCTAGTGCCAGCAACTCTATCTCGTAAAAACAAAATCGCCACTACTGAAACTTCATAGCCTGAATCCGTATGTTTCACTCGTAACATAAGGAATGAAAAAAATTAGTAAAGGTCAAGTGCGTGGTATAAAACTTCAGAACACATCAGAGTCGAAAGAAGAGGGTGAATTAAAACAACTGATAAATGGCAACAACACTTTTGAAGTAGTCCATTTGTCAACGCCTAGAAGTGCATTTTTACAGTTTACTGTTTTCCTTTTATCTGCAAGAAATTGCAACTGTATAATCATAATAAAACTTCAAAAATCCACTTTCATGACTTGAAAAATCTTTTAATGCTTCTTAATAGCTTCTAGTGTCATTAGAAAGTTTAACTTTAGGCGGCTTAATGAAAATTGACATTTAATCATTTCACAATATCGTCTTCATCTTCACTTCAGGATGTCAAGTAACCTGTTGATTCACTTATTTAAAGCCATTTATCAACAGAATATCATATGGTATGAAAATCTTAAGTAAATACTTATTTATGGGACGCTGGCTAAAAAAACGAAGCTAAACTAACCGAATTTTAAAACTGTATAACTTGACACCCTTAAGTATGGGAATATTTTCACTATGGATAATTTGTTTGATAGCATATAGGTTATAGCAGACTGTATACAGTATTATGTGGTCTTTATTCTGCACTATAATGTAAACTGCCGTCAACTCTTCAACATTACACTTTACTCATCTTACACAGAATAAGTGATTCTGTTTATCAGACAAAGTGAATGGTACTCAGAAACACCAGGAGACATATCTTAGCGACATGTCTCTTACAAGTATGTTAGGTTGACACCAAAGCAGATAACAGTATACTTAAGTATAATGAATTTATCCGAAAAATAACAGGGTAATTTTCAATTCTTGTTCAATGCAACTGTCCACTTCAGTAGTCACAAGCATATGCATACAACGATCAGCAAAAATCACGTAAAACAGGTATGCAGCGAACTGAAATGACCATGAAGGATATCAATAATTTAAATATATAAATTTTCATTATCACATTCACTGTATCCGTTTTCGCTTAAAATTTAGTCTCAGTAATCAATAAAGCTACTGAAGCGTGAATTATACTGTCCGATAGCATTCATGTTAATTGAAATGTTGAAAACAATATTGTTCGCTTAAATGTGTTGTTCTAAATTGAAGTGTTGTTGTTAACGTCCTGGAAGAGATTTCAAGTGCTGAGTTTAGCGGATAATTAAAAAGGAATGACAGTCAGTTATGAAAAGTGTTTATGAGAAAAAACAAGTGATTTCACGTAATTTCAAATTTTGTTATGAGATTAAAGACATACCGATTCTTCCTCGGAGCCATAGAAGTATCCACATAGTTTTCAGCGTCATTACTTTGTTCCTTTACAGACATTTTGAAGCAGAAATTTCCAATGGTAAAATTTGTTTTCCAATTTCGTATGTTTTGAAATGACAGAATGTCAAAATTGTTTTGTTGGTTTATTCAAAATAAAGTAATTTCCAATATTTACACTTATCATAATATAGATAAAAAAATGTAACGATTATTATATCTTTACACTATGCGCTTGCAGCACGGTATTATAAGGTAATACAAGATGGGCATCCAATCAATAGACACTTATTAAGTGAAAAACCCACGTCCACGTTATTATATAGTCTGCATAAGCAACCAATCACAATTATCCATTGATTAAGGATAAATATGAATATATAATCCGTAATGTGGATTGGCTCCCGAGAAAATGCTTTGAATAGGTCATAAAATATGCGAGACGTCAGTGGCTGCACATAATATTTTGTAAAAATTATGAGTCAGCAGCTGATGCATGCAAATTCCTTTAATCTCTTTATTTCTAAAGCTTATAAAGTGGTAATATTAGATCAAAAAGGGGAAAAGATCATGAGCTGACTGACGGTTCCTCCAGTAATCTGAGGTAAACTAAATGACAGTGACATTATGGACGTCATAGCTTGGGTGAATTTTTGCAACACAAGGACTTGTGTTAGAACCAATATTCAAATGTCTTTTTTGAAAGCTTTAGGTGTTTTAGTCACTGATTGGTAGAAGTTGGATATAATTCGTCAGCTGAATGGTTAACAGGTTCACATGGTAAACACAAGGTTATGAGTTCTATCGCCAGCAAATTAAATGTTGAGAACTACAGAAGAGTCTCAAAGTGGGAGAAAACAGCTGTGCGGCCTAGTTTTTGATGGTTCGTAACCTAATATGAAATGAACAACTCATAAAGAATTCATATGGTGCACGTATGGATGGTTCCCCTTACGTGATTCGTTTTATCATTTTGTTTGGCGTGACCTTTTATCCACTTTTTAAGTTACTGTATTCATTATCTTCAAGAAATGTGTAACAACACAGTTATAAAACAATAAACATTATATATCTCAACCATGCCAAAAGTAATTCATTGTAACTGATATCAGCATACTGGTTATTTGATATATATAATGCTTACGCGAATGTTGGAAAACATCTACATTGCCAAATATATTTCGCGTCCATACGTTGGGATCTTCAGAATGTCTGTAAAACAGGTGCTAGTGAAATTTAAATCATAATTATCAACTGTAGTAAAAGAAGTAACTGAAAACCGATAGTCAAATATTTCCAATTAATTCAGTGTAAACGGTTTTTAGCAATCAACTAGAGGCTATTTGACTTGATCTTAGATCGAGAATATATCTGTAGGATCGCAAAATAATTAACGACTCGAGATACGATCTAATCGCTTATTTCGTTTGGTGGTGAAAAGTGTAAATTTCAAATTTTGAGGTATTGGTCTGATGGATTTCAAGTTTGATTGGGAATTGATTTCAGCTAGAGAATCATTGAAAACCAAGAAGTAGCAGAAATCTGTCGTGCCAGTGTTTGGGAATCCTTTGGAGTGTGCAACCATCACCCTACCAGGGATCGGATGCAGGTGACAAGGCAAGCTCGTTGAATTTTCACCTACTGAGACAAAATTCACTTGAAAATAATCTTTTACTCACAAGTGACTGACTAAAAGATGAAGTTGTGTTGAGTTTTAATGGGAAGTCGTGACTGGTGGAGTGCAGTAAGTTGGATATGAGGACAAACACTCATCAATGACATTGACTCGTGGTTACTCTGTACATCGCCAAAAGGAAAGCAGTTGTAATTGAAGGGATATCGGGGTCTGTCCCAGTGGCTAAACTGTCAGCCAGCTCGCTTTATAAATAAAGGTCCTGAGTTCAACTGCTGCTCAGGTGATGGACGCGTACCGATGAAGAGTTCCAAATAAGGGCGAGGTAGCTGTCCATTAATCTTTGATTTTCAGTGGTTTTCTAACTGAAATCAGCTGATAGTCAAAACTGTCAATTTTAGAATTTATATTCAGGGTTTGATTATCAGGCCACTCTTCATTTTATTCTACTGAAAAAGTAAACTTTCACAATGGTCCCAGTAAACCATTGATAAATATTTTAAGTTTCGTTATAATGCAAGGCCTCCTAATTGTTATTCCAAACGAAGCTTGTAACTTGAATCGATTTATCTAATACATGGATCCTATAAAATGTTTCTTCTCTTCTTCAACAGTTTTTTAACTTTGAATAAAGTTAAAGAATATATATATATATACATAAGCATATATATATATATATATATATATATATATATATATATACACAAGAATGTTTATACTTTATGCCAACAAATTGGAGTTTGTATTGATTAAAAGGATAACTCTACGTCATGAATACAAAAAGTATTCAAAAGAGGTAAGAATAAGTGTGCTTCGGATTGCGGAAACAGGCTGTTTTAAAAATCAAGGAAAAATGTGAAGAAGGAAAAAGAGAAAGACTAAAAATCTTTTAAAAACGAAATATAATAATAATAATAATAATCGAAATTCTGTTTGACAGATGCGAAAAAAGACAGAAAAAAACAAAAGAATACGTTATGAAAGTGTCAGTGGTAAGCAGTTAGTAGGGATAATCTAATCAGCCTTACGATTTCATAAAAAAAGAAATGAAAGACTTAAAGTGAGAAGCAGTTAGTTGCTTTTTTCTTGTACACGAAAGAGAATTTTTAAAAGTTTTACCAAGTAGTTCGCATTGAAATGATTGGAATAAGTTGAATGATAAGGAAAGTAAATGATAAATGATACAGACGGCATTGTTTCCTCAAGAAATCATGCAGAATACATTCAGAAGTTAAGAAGTTTGGGAAAAGTTATGAGAAGAGTCGTCACACAGAACTGATTAGTCAACGGAAGATTATCGACTATGAGCTCCATTCTCAAAATTAACGGTGGGACTCAGGTTCGTTCTTTAATAACAAAGTTATGATGCTTTTGTCAATGAACTATATCATGGAGTGCAAACATCAGAGAAAATATGTCCAAAATTTTCTTTCAATTGTATCCGATCCCGAACATGACCTTTTTGGTCGTTAGAAAAGGTGGTCACTGTGAAAACTTTGACTAAAAAAGAGAGAGGAGAAAATAAAATATGTCGAGGATTAAAGTGTATTTAAATGCAATAAAGACTTCTTGAGGATTAATGAATAAATTGATGTTCTTTGCCACATTTCTACTCGTCATTAACTCCCCACATGCTTTTGCTCAATAAAGGTGAAGGACAGCGTCATATGCAAAATAAGATCAAGCCGATGAAAACGATTTCTTCTTCTTCATGCAACCTAAGCTTTTATCGTACTTGAGGAAAAAACCAAACTTTTTGTTCAGAAGTGTTTTATGCAGTTTCTTTTACTAACATGGATGCAATCTTAATTTTCTTTTTTTGACTAGTTGAATTTTAAAATCTACATAATTCTTATTCCGTGACCCACTTCCTTTTCCTTGTCCTCTTTTTTCTAAGTCATTATCTCCAAAAAGCTTTTCAACACTTAATTATCTGGACACTTTCTGGCTTACTTAAGATTAGATTTAACAAGTTACCATTTCTCGGACTCTTTAATTTATCTTTGCTACTAACTGATGATAACACTTGATGGTTACTTGCGAAAGACGTGATGCATTTAAAACGTAAATTAGTGTGCAGCTTTGATAAGATGATAAGTAAAGAATCCACTTTGCTATGTATTGTCCAATCACACCACATGGGAATTTTCAATACCAAAGGAATTTTTTTTATGCTTCACTCTCTCCAGTGGAACATAGGGCTTCAAGTTTCTGTAGCAATGTTTATTTTACAGGATGGGGCTGCTAGCCTCATGCTCAACCTTTTCTCTCTACCAGCATTATTTCTGGCTTAGCCAGGTAAAGGAGTGCGTTGGCTGGGGATCGAACTCCGGGCCATGTGCATGGCCGGCGAGCATCCTAACCGCTATGCCACCGACGCCCACCAAAGGAATTACTTAATTCAAATTTCAAGTAAGATGGAATTTCTATATGAGTTTGGCTGAATTTAGTATACGTCTTATCACTGATTCAGGTTTTTAATGATCCCTATACTATACCTTTTCAAATCGGTGATTTTTTCTCATGTGTGACATAACATAAGGAATAGTTCAACCATCACTCAGGAGTAGAGCTTTACACTAGGAAAAAAATGAACTGGTTTCACCTATAATCATTATATCTTGATAGTAGTTTTATTAACTTGATAAAAATATTTTTTGAGAGCAATCGCTAAATATTTATTAAACTAACCAGAAGAAATCAGAACTTTGCTCCAGACCTATCAGTAGACAAGGCTATACCCATGTGGTCTAATATTGATATTACTCATTCGAAAAACAGTACTGCATTTCTTTCTTGTACAGAAGCACGTGAAATCACAGGTTTTTGGTTGTCATCCTAAGGTGAAAGGAAGATTCTTACAGTTTCCTGGTGGTTCCGTGATATAAAACCTGCCAACTACGCAAGTGGTGAGGAGTTCGATCCTTGGCCGATGCACTGTAAAACCTCAGTAAGTCGGTAGGAAGCCTGATAAAGAGGGGAGGTAGGGTGTGAAGTTATCAATCCCACCCCCTAAGAAATAAACATCACCGCCACTAAAACTTTTAAGGTTAAGCCTTGAAGTTCTATGTTCGAATTGTAACTCAAAGGAAAAATATAAGAGATAAATAAAAAGTAGGTTACAGCATTACTCACATTTCTCAGTAATTCGAATTCAAAATAGATAGTTGAAATAGTAGAATATATTAAACTTCTAATTGCATTCATTTAGATAAAAATTTTAACATCCTTCGTATGTCCTATAAAAAGCACATCAAAGGAAAGGACAAATAAATCTTTAATTCTCTCTTAGAAATATATTGTGTTACTTTCTGAACTATTTTTAAGTGGAAGGATTTTTCAAACACGAAATTACAAGCGAAACGTTTTAACAGGCGGAAAACGAACCTTTTTGTATAAACAGAAATAAGGATACTATAATGATGATGGAACGGATGTATGGAGTAATTTTTAGTACATGGCAGAGTCATTTCAGAAGTGAATGATCATCTGAGTCAGCATGACTTGAATATTTCTGACCTGTTATTTTAATACGCCATCAGAAGTTTCTGATAGGGCTGGGATTCAGTAACCCGTGAATCCTAACTTTGTCACTGAATCCCAGCCCGATTGGCTGAATGGTTAACCAGCTTGGTCTCGAAACCTAA